ACATGAGTCCAGACCAGACAGACTTGAAGTAATACGTTACCTCTTGGTGATCTGCAGGGGGTCGTGAAGGACTGGGTCATTTTCAAACGTCTCCTTGTCAAAAAGTCTCCTAACGGCATAGTTTGCCAGCTGTTCCATGAGAAGGAACGTTTCACTGATGTGCAAAAACATGGAAAAATAGTGGTCTTCTCCACGGGAGCACACATGAATGCTCTCTGTCAGAAGCACATTGGAAGTCTTCTGAAGTTTTGATATTTCATCCCAGGAGATAATCAGTTTTACTGAAAATAAAAACATAAGCAGATGTGAGTAGTAGCTTCTCCTTCGCTGCCACCCTCACATTAAAAAAAAGTAATAGTCAACAGCACTAATAAAATACAATTAAGTAACAGAGTTAAATGACAACACACTTAGAAAGGACTACAAACTCACAAGCACAAAGGATACTCTCTTCACAATTCCTATAATTCTATTAGAAAAAATTTTACACAAAGGAAAACGTTAAAGATACATCCTGTATGAAAACACAAGCTTACACCACCTGTTCTTTGCTCTCATGTGAAACGGCAAATTGCAAAAAAACACCATCACATAAGCTGCCCTACGTTAACAGTTCACCAGTAGGGCTCCTTATGGTAAATCAACCCTGTACTGGCATTTAGAGGAACTCTGCCCACTTCCCTAGCTTAGAAAGGATCCCACTTCCTTTATACTTTCTAGTTTTCACACAAATACAGTTCTAGCTCACACTATTAGAGGCCTTTGTACGAGGATTTCAAAGTAATGCTACACAGGAAACACAAGAGATATAGACAACTACCATCGGTGTGTGTGAAGAAATAACTGTAATCCTCAAAGACTGAATTAACATACAGACTAAAGATGATGGACAATTTTTAGTTACAGTCAAGTGCAACAGGACTGCCTTCCCTCTGAAGCTTATATAGAGGAAGAAAACCAATGGCTATGGTGTAGTTACACAAGCGTATTCACGTTTGCAGTTCTATTTTGTGTCGGCATCTGCTCCCATGGCAAAATAGCTCCCTTAGGACACAGGAAGAATCCTTCCCAATCTGAAAGACAACCAGTAAAATGTGAAGGGACTAGGCTTAGCGGCAAGGCTTACTTACTTTCTGCCCCCAGCAAAAATGAGTAAAAGCTAAGGAAGTTGGTACTAAGATAAAGCCATCCTTGACAGGGCACTCTGCCCTTCCAGTAACTGCACGAGTAATAGGTGACCAACTTCTCCTGCTCCGGTAACCCAAAACACTTTTCAAACTTCATAAGACCTTCACGAAACTTCTCAGGATCATCCTCTCTGGTAAAAGAACCTTTTCCCTCTTCAGCAATCAAACCCTGAAACAAAAGAACCAGTTACTTTACGTATGCATCCACGTGGGTGGATGTGATGTATGCACCCCCACACATACAGCGTGTGGCACTCTCCTAACAGGAGAGTAAGTTGTAGAACAGGAAGAATAGTCTGAGGATGAAGACAGGTCACAAATCAAATGTGCTATTTCAGACTCATCCACAAAGTTTCCCACACAACGTTGGCAAGGCACGCATTCCCAGGTCTTCTGAAACAGTTCGATTTTCCTCACAAAGTTGCAAGAATTCCCGGGTTAAATATTTAGCACATATTAAGTGAACTGTTGCACCTTCACAAAAATATACCATATGCTTCCCAGACATGATAAAAATTATTGTGAAATAACTTGTCAATTTATAGACCACTGTCTAGAGGTATCTGGTGTATCATTTACCAAGATGAGCTTATGTCAAACGACCTTACTTAACTGTGGGGCAGGTAAACAGGAAAGATGGAGTGTGTTGAAGGTGACAGCCACATACTGCTCAATCAGAAGTATGGAGCCTTATGATGCTGGCCTTTGATGTTCTATGGAGGACATAATATTTGGGTAAGTTTAGAGGAAAAAAAGTACTCAGCCTTTCCCAGTTATGAAATGTGTCTGTTACTTACTCTTATCTTTCCCTGGACAAAACTTGTAATATCTTCATTTGAATCAAATACTGATAACGTCTTCATAACATTGTGTTCTAACCAGTCCCAGTGCTCTGTTATTTCTTCTCTGCTGGATCCTGATTGAAAGAAAAAGTCAGTGTTACTTAAAATTAGGACGGACTTTAATCATTGCACTAAAAATATTCATCAAGAGAATACTTTGCAAATTCCTGACTCACAGAGTAATTTAGATACACAAAGGCAAACTGCAAGTCTCAAATTTATTGTCTGACTCTTGTGTACACTAAAAATGCATTTGGTGTAGACAAAAAAACCGCGCTGCTCTGTTTTCATCTTTCAAGCCCTTTCTGCGGCTGTATTTCTAGCCTTTACATCTAGGAGCACCTCAGCTTTGTCAACGCTGTGTGGCTCAGCACGGGAGCTCGGACTGACAGTTCCTTCAGCTCAGCAGAACCTCCCCAATACAGATGGCAGAACATCGCTAGAACACTCCTGGTCTAGAAGGTGGGAAATGTGAGATCAAACTCACGAGGCCAAGAAGAAAACGAAAACTTTGATATCCTCAGCTTTGATCATTGGGCTGTGACAGTTTCCAGAGTAAAATTCCAAGACTTAGAACTGCTGGGCAAAATCCCTTCTAAAGTGTGTGAGGATGCAAAGTGTCCATCACTGTTGCCAGGAAGGAAGCAGAGATTTCTCTGTGGATACTTGAAACAACCATTTACGCTGCTTCCAACACACAATCAGTTGTGCTCAGCACCAGTCACGGCTTTATCTCATTCTTTGTCAAACCACGTTGTAACTATATTTCTAACCACGCTAAAGCCTAGGCAACCACTGTTCAGGGAACGGTGTCATTCTACCTCTGGCAACGCTCTGCTCCCCAACACCATTTGGTTTTCATGCGGCTGCAGGACAGAAGCACAGTTGCACCTCATATGGAAAACACATCCCAGAACTAACTCCTGAGGCAGGAAAAAGGCTCACGGATTTATACAAGCTCAACAACATCTGGCACAACCAGAAGTTTTATTTTTTTCTTCTGGACCCTCTGGGACTCAAATACATGGGAATAAGGACTGTTTCCTTTCCTTACATTATACATATGCTGGAGGAGGAGTAACTTAAAAAAACTGTTACCAATAACCACAAGGAACGTAGAAATCACAGAGCCAAAGTAAAATTCAATGTTCCAAAAATGTAAATACTGCACTTTCACAAACCTTAAAGACAATCAACCGTGTTAGTTACTTTACGCTGCTCTTTAATCTAGGTTCCAGAGAATTCTCACCTACTGTATGGTGAATGTCACTGCAGCTTTACAGCAAACAAATCCCTATCTCAGCTGAACTTTCCAGAAATACATTTACATTACTGATTTACTTTAAATACAAAGGAACACTCTTGCCCACTAGCTACTTCTATTATTAATGTGGAAGGCTAATTTCAAAATGTCTATGTTAATTCATGCTATTCATTTCACATACTCATTACAAATTATGCAAGTGGTAATAGGTAAGTAGAGATGATACCAGTGGAACAGGACTAGAGGTCCAGCAAATTCAACACTGAGTCAGCTCTAAAGACAGCTGGCTCCCCATCAGATGGTGGGAGACAGAGGGCAAAAGAATTTACACAGGCTTGAACAAAAGGATTCTAGAATATAAATTAATTGGCAGTTTCACCTTCCACAGGAATGCTCACAAACCAAATCAGTCAGTATAATCACATACTATCCAATACCCCGAAGCAAGAACACACCTTTAACAATTTCTTTTTTCTCAAGTTACTTTATGAAGACTAATTACACAACTTCCAATGGACTCCACAGGATTAGTTACAGTTGCCTTGGGGATGAATAGAAATTGATTTAAATATGGTTAAATAGTTAGACTGCACTACAAAGGGTGGATTTGCAACAACACTTTAAAAAAAATCATATGAAGAGTAATTAACATAGCAATTAAATCACAAACGAATTATTCTTCTCAGACTACACATGAACACCAATTACTTGAGTCACAGTGTGAATCAGAGGCACAGATGTGACACAGTAAAGATGATTTTTTTAATAAATACTTAAAATTATTTAGGAGCACTGTTGCAGATCCATAATATATAATAGCAGGAAAAAATGCAGTCTCTTCAATTTTTTCACTTCACAGAAGGAACAATCTGTTTTCTAACACAAAGTACAACCACAACACGTAGCCTTTTGCTGTAAAGTATACTAATGCAGCACAGAACTGATACAAATTCAGTCCTAAGGGGAAGATTACCCTTTGCGTTTTCCCAAGGGCTGACTTGATGGCATTAGAAATCCCCAGAGTATATTTCCAACATATTTAATCAAAGCACCTTTCTGATAGCCTGTCACCATCAGTTCTGACTTCTTTAGAAGTAGTACTAAAATTTTATTTACTGACAATTTACAAACTGTTATAATCCTATCAACTTTATAAGGCTGCCCTTTTAAAGTGGCATGCAATGAATTACAATAAGTCCTTATTAAATGGTTCTTTCACTACTGCCCTTCAAGTAAGTCCTTGCAGAATGCGAAGAGAAGCAGAGCAGCGCTACAGCATTAACTGAACACCTAAAAGAACAAATCTGCATTTTCAAAGTAGCTAACTGCATAGAAGAGACAGCAAGAGGCATATTTTTTAATTTAAAGTGAAGCAATGAAGGTTCATAATAAAGCAATAACAGCAAAACCCAACATGGCAACAGTACAGCGCTTGGGAGTGGAACGACTCCTGCTCAGAAGTGTTTGCAGAATGGCAGATTTCCTGCGAAGCTCATCTTTTGCCACAGGAAACTAAAAGGAAGGCCTGTAGCTCGGACATGTCTAGATTGACTCTTGTTTCTTTAACAAACACTACCAATTAAAAAAAAATTAAAGCATAGAAAAATAAACTAAAATATACAGTTCTTTTTTACTGTAATTATAGATGTTTTCAGAGCTTCCAACAAGCCTTAGGTTAATTCCCAACAGTGAGTTTTTTGCATTAGACCATATGATAATATTAATTAACCTCAATCCAAGGATGCCTCAGAATTAAAAACAACGATGCCTGTAAAGAGTAAAAGAGTCCACTCAACTTTTGGAATGGATGCCTCTTTGGATAGTTATGTAGCCTGCACAAAGGAGTTAAGATTTGATTTTCAGGAGAAGCTGCAAAACTGAAAATAAATTAAAACTAAAAATAAAAAAAAATCCACAAACCACACACCACAACAAAATAAACCCACGCACACCATCGAAGAAGCTTGCTCTAGGAAAAATCACATACTCCACTCCCAAGGTCAATTTTTTTTTCTATTTCCTACTAATTAATAATGCAACATGAGAAAGAACTTCTTACACTACAAGAACAACAGATATGAGGAAAAATTCAGCTTAGACTGTGACTGGGAACCCAGCTCATTTTAACAAGCAATATAAATAGAACAAAGCATTAAGATAAGCAGCTCCTGCTAGTACCACCTACAACACACTTAGTACTCCCAAGGGTCAACTTATCCCTATCATCCTGAACTGTGCCAAGTTACACTCGCAGCTTACAGAAGAAAAAACTGTGCCTCTGTTATTCTAAGAGGCTTCAGTACCTGACAGACTAGAGCAGAAAGCAGGCAATCAGAAGGGTCCACAGATAGAGGCTGAAAAACTGGAACCACATGCTACTGCCAATCACAGGTCTGCAAATGATTTCAAACCATTTAAAGGTCACAGGAATGAATAACGAGGTGAGGGGATTCATCCAAAATTGGATCCCGTACTTTGTATCCTCATTTTTCACTTCAAAAACTCAGTGAGCTGCTAAATCCCAGTACGTACCACATGCGATGGACCAGTAGACTTGAGAGTCTGGTGTCTGATGCAGGATGCGAAATGGAGCGACTTTTGATGTAGAATCCAACACTGCATCTAATGTTCCCACGAGAAGACCTGTTGCGTTCAAGAAAATAAATACAGCACAGTGAAACTGAGGTTCTGAGATAGGCACTCCCTGCTGAGTCTCTTCTTAGTGAACAGGAATGCTACCCAAGTAAGGACGAATGAACCCTGAGAAAGTTAGAAGCACAAGTGAGCAAAGCAAAGTGCTCCCCAAGGAACATCTTCGGGAGGTGATGAGATTTTGATCCAGTAAAAGCCATTATAAGTACAAAAATGAGGTGAAGAAGTTTTTTGAGACGACCCCCTTGAAAGGTACAGCCACGTAGTATGGTGAACCAGAGCAAAACCTGGAATGTAACATGGTGGTTCCTGACCTTCATGAGCACAGGCAGTAACTGAACTACCTCTTCATTAGTCATTTACTGTTGTTCTGTTTTCTAGTCACAGGAAAGAGCTCTTAGAAGACTGATTTTTATGAAATCCCACTGTTTTTACATAAGAACACCATATCGTACTTCTTGTACATACAAAATCTTTTCTGCTCATACCATGCTATGGCTAAAAAATGCCTGTCATTCTTCATAAATAGTCTATCAGATAACTCCTCCACAAAGTATGGAACACTAATATCTCATCCTGCCGTCACATGCTCAATTATATTGCAAACAGTGCATTATTCCCATACAGATTATACACTCAAGATACAATGGCCATGTCACCTTCCTGCCACCAAACACTGAATTAGCTCCTATTAAACAGAGTTCAGACTAAAATACACTAATTTCATTAATGAGATCTACTTCATCTCTCCATAGTTGGGAGCAAAACGTTTCTTGAGAAAATGAGTATGTATTTTATCATGGCTGCCAGAATCCTTTTTTTCTGCACAGTAATAAAAATATTAGCCCAGATATCTTTCAAATCTAAGAATCAGGGTATTCGAAGAGAAAAAAAAATACACACAGAAAAAAAAATACAAGCTTTTGGATCATGACGCACAAGTGTTACTAGAACAGAAAATACAAGTACCGATATCTTACGCTTCCTTCCTGTATTTCCTATGCTTGCTGTTCTTCTAGCGTTGCCATCTAATGGAAAGTTCAACTAAAGCAAAGGTACCAAAGCAAATGCACACAGCTTATACGCTCCTAGAGAAAGCAGCAAAGTAAGAGACAAGATGAACCAGAACAAAGAGAGATGCAATTACCCAAAGTCTGTTTCACAGCCCTGCTGAGGCCACGCACGCAGGGCTTTCTCCGAACAACGCTGTTATTGCACACAAAGTTAATGCGTCCCTTAGAGCAACTCTAAGCACCTTCCCATGTTTAACAGAAAACGATCTTTTGAGTCAGGTGTTTAATATTCCATAGAGGCATTAGATTTAGATAATCTCAAATGCATCCCTCAAAAGTTATTTTAGAATTTTTGGGTTCGCTTCCGGTACTTTTTGTTTCACCTCCCTTCCATCAACCCCCTCTCAAATTCTGAAGAAAAACTGTGGGAGAATACAAAAAACCAAAAATGAAGAAGTCTAGACAATCATCCTCAGATGATATGCTTTCAGCATAGAGCCTGTGTGAATACCTTACTGTGACTATTCAAGTTTCAGGATACTTTTGCTTCTGTTCCAAAAAATGGAAGTCAATAATCATGAAAAACACACAAAACCCCCAAAAGCCAGTACATCACATCAATCAAAAGTACTATCTTGTCTTGTCTGCAATTCATAGGTTGTAAAGTGACTTTTAGAAAAGAGATTTTTTTTGTACTTTCTAACTGAAGTCAGACACTGAAGAGATAACATTTACGGCGTTTGAAGAGCTCTGGCTTACTGAATGAGTCATAACACTGAGCCGATCTCAAAGTTGGCTTTGCTTCAGCAAATGTTTTATTATTTCATTCACAATTCTCCTAATATCAGTTTCTGTTATGGAATACAGTACAAGGACATTAGTCACCATTTAGAAGGCTAATGCAGCTGCTCAGCTTGAGAGACGATTACAACAGCGCACTCCTCAAAACGCCCTTACACGTTCTGTCTGCTTGGAAAGTCACTGGATTTTAGACACAATAAAATGCACCAGCTCAGTATCAGTGACTTCAACAGCCCCACTAGCCAATACTGCTTTGGCCACGAATGTGATACAGGCCACAGGTTTGTGCTCAAGTGATAAATACTCAGTACATTATGAGCTGCTAGTGTAACTGCAAGGAATGAGCAGCACCTCACTTTCTTACGCTAGCCCTGGCAGTGCTCTATGACCTGCTCATTTTTGGAATTCCGTATTATCAGTCAAGGTTTCCATAACTACAGGTTTTTGGGTGCTTCTCAGCAAGCTCTATATTTCGTGCTGTTTCTCAATGTGAAACCAAGAACCACGTTCACCCAGACAAGCACAATCACTGCTGAGGGCTTTGCTGGCACTCTGCTAACTCCATTCACACGAGCCTGCTGAAGAGCGAGTCGCTTCCAGGGCTGCAGAGATTTCAGACTCACCTGTATAATCACAAAGATACTAATTGTAAAATAAGGGAGTAGGTAAGAAAAGAATCTGCTCAGTTCAGGCACCAGCATTATCTCCATAAGAGAAGCAACGGGGAAAAAGCAGCCCAGGCCATACCTGCCAATCCCTCACTGATGAAATGCAGCACACGCTGCTCTGGAACAACTAATTTGGGGAACAACCAAGAGCAGGTCATTTGCTCTCATCTCTGCTCAAAGCCAGACACTAGAGCTTCTACCAGGGATTCCACCGAAATAACTCTTCTCGCCTCACTCCAGGAATGACTTCAGCTCTCCATGCGGAAAGTGATGCACATTTGCACAGAGAAAGGGCTCTGCCTTAAGGAAACATTTACAGTTTCATAGCTACTTGAGTAAAACTACTGGGAAATATCCCAGATACTGGGAAATATCCCAAATAAATAGGGTAAAAATAACCCAGAAAATAAAATATGGAGCAAAGAATCCAGGAGAGCTTTGAAATAAGGACGTGTTCTTCCCAAAAATCTCTAAAACACTCGGTTAGTAAAACATCAGCAGTAGCTGCAGAGACATGCACCAAAATGCTATCTGCAACAAATTTTGCTGTCAGTTGTATCAATTTACAGCCACGAAGGCAGTATGCTACAGTAACCGCCCAGCACTTTGCCATTTGGGTACATCACCACTTTGTTCTTCCATATTTATTTCACCAAGTACATCAAAGAATACTAATATCTGGTTGGGTTTTTTTGTCCTTTTCAACCCACAATCTCAGAAATTTATATTTTTCTTCCCCGGAATACCTGTCAGTTACATCTTTTTTACTAACAAAAATCTTCTTTATTTTAAATAAGAATGTGATATCCAACAATTTGACTACTTCTTATCCTTTGTGGGACTAGTGCAATGAGAACAGACTAGTCTAAGTTCCACCTTACCAAAGAAGAATTAGAATGAAAAAAAACATCATGCTGTTGTCTTTAAGAAAGTACTATTGTTTTGAAGCACAGTTAGCAAAAGCCCGCTCTCTCCTCTCATAACAGTGCCTTTGAGGACAATAATTAATTATATTAAAACTGGATCAGACGGCCTCCTGATTTGCTACACCAGGAGTGCTAAGGGACATAAAATATTTACGACTGTAAGAGCGTCCTACAGACAGAAATATTCTATTAGCACAACAGTGGTCAGCCCCATTACACTAAGGATTTCGAAAGGGCGACACTTTGATGTACAACTGAGTTCCCGCTCTCAGTTTATTTACATCCTCATAAAAAGGAGTGTTTTGAAAATACTGTAAAAGCTTTCCCAGAATGGCAAGAACTGCAGAAAGTGATATTCTGCAGCTACAGTGAGCTTCATTGCAGCAATAACTGCTCACTTCTATGATCCGAGGAATTCAAAGGCTAATAAGAGCAGAAACAAAGAGGGAAAAAATATTGTAGAACAAGTGATAGATAGCTACGGCGGGTTGACCTCGGCTGACTGCCAGGTGCCCACCAAAGCTGCTCTACCACTCCTCTCCTCAGCTGCACAGAGGGAGCAAAAATGTGATGAAAGGCTTGTGGGTGGAGATAAGGACAGGGGGATCACTCTGCAATTATCATCACAGGCAAAACCGACTCTACTTGGGGAAATTAATTTCATTTATTGTCAGTCACATCAGAACAGGGTAAGGAGAAATAAAAATTAAATCTTTAAACATCTTTCTCTCACCCCTCCCTTCTTCCCATGCACCGCTTCACTCTTGATTTTCTCTCCCTTCTCCCCTCCAGTGGCACAGGAGGATGTGCAGTGGGGCTTGTGGTCAGTTCATCACATGCTGCCCCTGCTGCTCCCTCCACCTCACACTCTGCCCCCGCTGGAGCGTGGGGTCCCTCTCACAGGACATAGTTCTCCATGAACTTCTCCAGTGGGAGTCCTGGTCAAGAGCTGCAGCTCTTCACAAACTCCTTCACCGTGGGTTCCTTTCACGAGGTGCAGTCCCTTCAGGAACAGACTGACGCAGCGTGGGTCCCTCCTGGGCTCACAAGTCCTGCCAGCAACCTACTCCAGTGTGAGCAACTCTCACCACGGGTCCTGCCAGGAGCCTGCTCCAGCGAGAGCTCCCCACAGGGTCACAGCCTCTCGCACAGACTCCTCCGTGGGCTGCAGGTGCACATCTGCTTCCCCGTTCGCCTCTGTGGCTGCAGGGGCACAGCACCCCGCCCTCCCGCACCGGCTGCTCGGGCACCTGGAGCCCCTCCTGCCCCTCCTTCTGCACTGACCTTGGTGTCTGGAAAGCTGCTTCTCTCACATATTCCCACCACTCTCTTCAGCTGCAATTGCTGTCTCTCAGCAGTTTTTTCCCCTTCATAAATGTTATCACAGAGGGGCTACTGCCATCACAGATGGGCTCAGCCATGGCCAGTGACAGGTCTGTCTTGGAGCCAGCCAGCATCAGCTCTGCTGGACATGGGAGAAGCTTCTGGCATCTTCTCACGGAAGCTGCCCCTGTAGCCCTCCACTCAATGCAATCTCAGTACAATAACAAACATCCTTCATTTCGATTATCTGTCATATTTCA